GTCACAAATAGAACTGCCCGGTAAACCGTAGGCAGAGAGAGAGAAGAGGACATAATATAATATGATGAGTCGGTGAAACTCCGACGAAACAGTTTGTCACAGCCCCTCGTTTGTTGTCCTCTTCTCCCTCTCTGCCTACGGTTTACCGGGCAGTTCTGTTTGACGATATATATCATATATGTATATTCTGGGGAACATTTTGTGGACGAACTGTGGATGGGGAGGCTAACAGTCATATGGATACTGTCAGCGGTGGAAAACTAAGAAGAGGCAGATGCCGAATCGCCAATTGACATGGCTGGCTGAGGAAGTACTTGCAAGCTAGGCTACCAGCCGGGCCGCCCGGGTCACCTTATTTTCCCGGGKGGCCCGGCCGTGCAAGGACCAGGGAAGGTCCCAGCGAAAAAAAAAAAAAAAAAAATCCAAAAAAACCGGAAAAAAAAAACTATGATATGCCGAAAAATAAACTAAACAACTTTTGCCTCAGGGTCACATCAAAATTCTTTACCAATTTTAAAATAAAAATTAAACTTACAAACTGATTTTATTTATTTTTATTTTTTATTTCTTTTTGGCCCGGCCGGGCAAGTGGACCCGGGCCATTCTGCTAGCCTAGCTTGCAAATCTTTTTTTTTTTTTTTTTTTTTTTTTGGTATTTCTAAGGTTTGAGACATACCCGTCCAGATCGATTAGCTGTCCCAAAGCTGTACATCGGTGCAGATTCCATGATCGACAGCCCCTGCTTTCCAATCGATGACCTCATATCATATATTGGGCCTGCATCCAACAACGTGCCGCAATATGGAAATCTGTCACCCTCCAGTCCTATCTGATCCACTCTCTGTCCATCTGTTCGTCAGTCTGTCGGTCAATCAGTCAATCAGTCACTGTCTGTCAGTCAGTCAGTCAGGTCGTCAGCTGGAGAATCGGTCATTCAGTCAGTCAATCGATTGGTCAAGTCAGACGGTCAGTCAGTATGACAAAATTTCTGAGAGGCTGGTTAGTTAACAGCAAATTTGCAAGTTTCTTCTTTTTCTTTCACAAACACAACACACACACACACACACACAAAGAAAAAAAAGAAAAAAAAAAAAAAAACACAAAGTTACCAACACACACACACACACACACACACACAGCCCCCATCTTTTCTGGAGGGGCAAAAGTCTGGTTGCTCGTCACCGACAAGCATGAAACTGAGTGTGTGATGCATATAGAATCCGTTCACATCCAGGTAATAGAGGAGGCCACGAGGGAGGAAGAAACTTCTGGGCAAGGGCCGGCAGCACTTTGATGTACAAGACCCAGTCGCCCCACAAAGACTACCACCAACCTCCAAGGCCCCCCAACCAAATGCAAAACCTCCCCTTCCAAATCGAACAAGATCCTGGATGCCCACATAAATGATTTTTCTCTGTCAACTTGTGTCAAGTCACATAGGTCACATAGGCCGCAAAAAAAAAAAAAAAAAAAAAAAAAAAAAAAAAAAAAGTCACATAGGCCGCATCCTGCGCAGCCACACAGTCGAATGACTCCAACTGCAATCAACCCCATGTCCCCTCTCCCACTACGCCTTCAACAGGCTTGAACTTAAATATGTACGATCATGATACACGACAAATCCGGGACGCAGAGCACAGAAGATACAACATCAGGCGAGGTCAAACGCAATCCGGACATGAGGTGAGGTGACGGAAGGACAATGCTCCTCTCAATGCGCTACCATAGAGCGTGTAAATGCAATAGAGTCGAGAGGAGCTGGGACTTGGTGGCTTTGGCCTCGAAAGGGCGGCAACACAGAGTCCCAGATGGAAGGGATCCTATGCAGGCCAACACCAACAAGAACTCGGACTACGTCTCGGAGTTCCCTCCTGTCAGAAGCAGTGTCCCAGACGATTGACATTCCCGCAAAGTCAGGAGGAAACCGCTGTTACTCTGGGCCTCGCCGCAGGGCTCACCAAATGCACACAAAAGAGAAAAAATTATGGCCCTGTACTTTTCCGTACTGTAGCGGAACATTCATTTTTCATCTTGCACAATTGGTGAGTGGTGCGGCGAGGCCCTTTATTTCATCAGCATTCTGTATTGGATTCCAGATATAAAGACAATCTGACAGGTTTTTTTGAAGTCATTGGCTGAGAGGAGTCTACGGAAGAAGAGGCTTGTCTGACTGTCAATTCTTCCCTCTAAAGAAGCGATTGATGCTTGTTTGGGGCTTTCTTTGGCTGTAATGGAAGAGACTGTGAAGTCGTTTCAACGTATTATGTAAGACTTCCTGATGGAAAATGAACCGGATTGATGCTCCCCAGAATAGAAAGGAGCCAGGACCCCAAGGCCCTGAACTCAATCTGAAACAGGGAAAGAGAAAAAAGAAAAGACTGATTACACAGTTAGAAATCGAGGAGGACACAATGTGCAATGGTACACACACCCAGATGGGGGAATTCTCGTCAACTTTCTCTTTAGCGAGTATCCTGTGACATCAAAGTCCATGGTTTATCGGAAGGGTCTTTCAGCCATTGGTTGCAGAAGAGGGGCTGTCGTAGTACTTCCTCTCTGTTTGTTGGACTTCCAACCTTGGACGGGAAGATCTCTCTCCAGATCCTGATGAGGTACATCCAATACTCCAAACGGTAACTGCTCCTGTCGATGCTGATTAGTGTGTTGAATATTGATGTGAGTTGCCCAAGACTTTGACATTACCCAGAATAGACCTTGCATGTTGGATGGAGAAGTCGCTTTAGGCAGCGGATACTCCTCAACCTGTTCGGCCTCGGACAGGATAAACAGTTTAGAGACTGAACCCGGAGTAGACATGGTGGTTTCACCCCACCCAACTCTTCAGAATAAGAGTAATGTCGCTTAAGGATGAATGGCTTGCCTTAAAACCGGACACCCCCATTTCCCGATTAGCCCTCGACCCGACCAGCTGGACCTGGGAGTGCCTGAGCGGGGGAAGGGTAAGTCCAGGGCTTGCTCCCTGCACTCGCTGTCGGTAAAGTCTACATACCGTATGCTCAGACCACGCGTTAACCTAAAGGACCAGGTGGTGTCCCATTGGATGAGGCACCTCAATGTAGGCTGAGACACTTTGCAACCAGTAAGATGGTTCTGGAACATCAGGGGCAAATCTGCAAAGCTGGCCTCTCTACAATGGCGGATAGAACACTGGTGGCTGCCAAACACACTGACTGGTTGATGAACAGGACAACACCAGAACAGAGAGGATTAGCCCTACCCTGGTGCAGGTTTGTCACTCTGCCTTTCCCTCCAGAAGAATCCCGGAAACAATCGAGCATATATTCTTACAATGCCCCAGGGCTATCTGGCTGTGCAGATGGTGGGACAGAATTTGGAGCCAGTTGGGCACATCCCACCCATGGTCGTGGGACTGGCCGGCGCTCCTCTGTGAAGCATGATGCCCAGACCAACCAACGGATTACACACCTAACCTATTCCAATCAGGACGGCGGGCCGTCCTCTGGGCCGTCGGTGGAGGAGGTACACCCATGAGATGGAAAGGGTACCCTTAGATCGCCCTGAATTCACAGAGACCATCAAACAGCAAATCCAAATGGATATCAGCACACAATGGGAAGGAACACGCGCACAAGTCGCACACCTGCAATCCAAAACTGAAATACATCAGAAGATTAACACAATTCTGCAGCAGCTGGCTCAGGGGAAGCAGCAGGGGGAGAATAGGGACAGTAAGCTGGGAAGGGAGACTTAAGGGATCCCAAGAAGGAATAATCAGGGACTGCCATCTGGTCTTCCATGACTGGACCACACTGGATCCATTTATTCCCCTCCACCCCTCCCCGATATCCCAAACCCGTTCCCCCCCGCCCCCTCATGCATGGTTGAGCAGGGCTGGTATGGTCTGGACTAGGTGAGGGTGAGGAGGAGCTGAGGTCGTAGGAGCATCGAGCTCCAGGCTTAGGCGAAGAGGGTGGAGTGTTTAGGGCTTTGAGGGGATTAGGGTTTGATAGAAGGGGGGCAACCTGGGACAGAGCTGGTGGTCTGGACTAGGCGGGGGCAAGGAAGAGCTGAGGTCATAGATTCATTTGGCCCCAGGGCTTAGGAGAGGGGGCAAACTGAGACCAAGGGCTTGGGAGGTTTTAGGGCTTTGGATGGGTTTTGGGCAGGCTGGGAGCAACCGGGGACCAAAAGGGAGGGAGGTAGGACCTGGGTCTAGGGCTCTGAACAGACCACCCAGGGATCAAACCACATAGGTGCTAGCAAAGCGAGCCCAATCTGGGGCCCACTAATAGGGTGAAGAGGCACTAGCAGCAACTACATATCTCAGTCCCGCCGGTATTCGCAGGGCTTACTCAGAGACCTTTCTCAAACTCTTTAAGTTCCTTCCACAATTCTCTATAATTCTCTGTATAAAGGACGCTGGACCCGATTTCCAGCAGGTGCTGCTCCCCACCAATAGATTGGAGCCAGCAGATGGACTGCTAGCGGTGGGGACTCGTATCACCACCTCTAGCAAGGCCTTTGGTGTTTCATTACAAAAACAAAACAAAGAAACAAAAACAAAAAAAAGAGGATGATCAATGATCAGCGCAGCCTCAGCGTGAGACTCCATGAGCTAATTACATTTTTCCTCCCAGGGTGCCACTGACATTTTTCAGGATTTTTTGGATTGTGTGGATTGAGGCCCCCCTTAGTAATAGGGGTTCGTTTCCATAATTGGAAAAACTTTTTTCTAAAAGAAACTATCAATGAAACGTGGGACCCCTTTCCCAAAAAAAAGCATGAAAAAGAAAAGTGGACCCACCTGGACTGTTTATGCCAAACAAGGCTTTTGAATGCTCCGGGCTGAGAAACACCTGCATCACAGAGCCATCAACCCCAAAGGAAACAGCAAATGCTTCAGCTGTCGCAGCTATCAGTGACCTCATTTTACTCGCCCCTTCCAGTGGTGTTCAAATTTCAAAGTTGGCCAGCAGGCCTAGCTCAGTTGGTAAGGCACAGAAGTTGCATTCAGGAGGCTGTGGGTTCAATCCTCATTGGCCTCACGTACGTGCCTGGGCAAGCTTGGTGTTGTACCAGCTAGAGATAACCCGTTGGGCCCGCAAGCCAGCATTGGCAGGACCTTGGCTGATGTTGTTGGTTGCTATGCAGCGACAATATTGGCCATTAGACACCGCCATGTGGGATTTGGGAGGGGGGGATTAGGGGGAGGTGCAGTGACTGGTCATTGCTCGGCGCTAGCACCGCCAATTTCCCCCATCGGCAATGCCTGCCCACCCCTCATCACCGTGACGAGGGACCGGTACAGCCTTGCTCTTGCACCACTGCTGTGGTGCCAACCTACCCCATGGGCTAGGGAGAGATCCGGGTTGGTTGGTGTTCCCCCCTACTATACATAGCCAATTTCCCCCATCGGCAATGCCTGCCCACCCCTCATCACCATGATGAGGGACTGGTGCAGCCTTCCTCTTGCACCACTGCTGTGGTGCCAACCTACCCCGTGGGCTAGGGAGAGATCCGGGTTGGTTGGTGTTCCCCCGTACTATACATAACCTAGCGAGAGGATGAGATAGATGAGTACTGGCAAGAGGATGAGATAGATGAGAGAAGAATATAGCATACTTTTCAACAAAATAAAAACAGAAAAAAAAAAAAAAAACGTTCAAAGTTCGAACTAACTTAGGGATGTACCACCTGAGCTAGGCCAGTTGGTGGCTGTCACTGACCTCATACTCTACCAGCACAGATGATTGTGGGAAATGCTTTCAAATCATATTCGTCCTCATACGTCTAGAGGCTCAGTAGAACCAGAACATTTATTGAAAAATAATAAGTCTAGAATTTCAGATTCTTCAGAAGAATCAGAACATTAATTAAAAAAAACAAACAAAAAAAAAAACAAAAAAAAAACAAAAAAAAAACAAAAAAAAACAGAACATGCTGGGGAGCATAGATGCTATCAAATGTTTTCATCATTTCGCACACTGGTCAGACAAGGAGACGCATGAGGGTGAAGAATGTACTTTCCGTGTGCCAACCTACCGTCTTCACCCGAATAGAACGCCCGGTAATTATTGCTTATTGCCGTATCTGGTCCGAAAGTTTCACCAAGTACAGCTATAATGACCGGGTGATCTGTTCGGGTGAAGACGGTAAGGCACCGTACTTTTGCACAAGGCTATGCCCTTTCTTTTTCGATACTTAGAAAGGGAGAAAAAAAGTGAGAAAGAAGGGCGTGTTCATCAGTCTGTCGCGCTACTTGTCTTGGTTACAGCAAGTTCAAGATGTCAAGTCCTGTGTCTGCTCTTGCCTTATGTGCCATACTATGCGAGCCTGGGAGTTGCAACCCGTCCCCAACCCCACCTAATCGACCACTATCGACATCAGACATGATTGTGTCCTTGTGGCAGTCTTTAGTTAAACAAAAAAGACAGAGATGCTTAAAAACAAGAATAGAAAAAGAAAAGAGGCTTTCGTGACTTCATTGACAAAGTTGAAGAGAGTCGAACCAGCAGTAAAAAAAAAAAAAAAAAAAAAAAAAAAAAAAAAAAACAGAATAGGAACCGGACTGATGCTCTCCAGAATGGGTGGATCCAGGGCTGACAGACCACAAGCCGCCTGCACGAATCCACCGAAAGCCCACCTCCCACCTCCTGGTTGTAATAGCTCGATCACCCGACACAAAAGGTTTCCGGTATAGAGTAGCCAACAAACATAAAAATGTGTCGGTGCGTGCAATCAGCAGGGAAGGAATACCTTGTTACGACTTCACCTCAGTCACTGATTCTACCCCAATATGCTATGAAACAAGAGGGGAGAGGGAGAGCGGAACAACTTCATGCAAAACCGCAGCTACAGCCAAATATACCACCCAATGTTCTATGACAATGTAAGTTATAAGGACCCTCCTTCCCTCTGTGCATTCTCGAAGCGTTTGTTCTTTTTTTTTTTTTTTTACACCCACAAAGCACAGCTAGGGGTAATGATAAAAGCATATACCCCTAGCTATATTCGCAGGAGGTGCTTCTCGAAGCATTTGTTCTACCTCTACTGCAAGAATAAATCGTAGCACTCCGCTTCATTCGCAGCCTCACAGTCCAATCAACAGACTCAGAAGGAAAACAAGCAAAGGACAAGTACCCGTCCTTTGCAGAAATCGCATCCAACAACACAATTTATCCTTTTTCGTTTTTCTTTTTGGTAACATTACTGCCCAAGGCCATGTCCCCAGAGGTACAGCAAAAATGAGGGTGCGTTCTGTTCGGGGGAAATTGGTATTTTGTGTGTGGGAGAGAGAGAGAGAGAGATAGGGATCACTGGCACGTCGCAGCAACGTGGCACACGGTGCCACGTGCCAACTGCAATCTCCCTCTCTCTCTCTCTCTCTCTCTCTCTCTCTCTCTCTCTCTTGCATGATATGTGGAGGCGGTACTTACCGGGGTGGTCCACCGGGAGCAGAGATGGAATGGTAGGAGTCAAAACGGTCGCTGGCGTTATAGGAAATACCAATGTCCCTCGTTGTTCGAGAAGGCCGGTACCCTGTCCCATCATCCATCCCAAAACAAGTGGAACAGCCCGGTACCGTTCATGACACAAGCGCCTAAATGGAACTACCACCCTGTCATTACTGCAAGGGTGCAGGTTAACGGGGTACTGGCCCTGGTGGCTACCACCCTGTCATTACTGCAAGGGCGCAGGTTAACGGGGTACTGGCCCTGCTCCTTTCCACCCACCCCTGCTGGCCACCTGTCATTCTTACCTCCCGCCCCGTTCGTTGCTGACAGACCGTCCCCGTTCGCCAGGGGGCCCTCCAGGTTCTGCGGCAGGTCGGTCAGTCGCTCTGCAGGCGTTCACGTCGCGATTGAAGCGGGTGCCTTGTTCGATCGCGACCATCTTCTTCGACATCGGCTCCAGCCGTCTTCAAACTACAGCGTCACTGCCTGCTACCGAAGGACAAATGGCCGTCATCCCACCTGCGACAGGCTCATTGACACGTGTACAGCCGATCTTAACCCCCTCGCCCCTCGTTGAACTCCTCCCTTCCCTTGAGACCCCCCTTCGAGCCCATCTTCCTCTCGGCAAACTTCCCGCTTCGTGTCTTCCCTTCCCTTCACCCACAACCGACAGTGTCACTCCCTCCCTCCGGCTGCGTCCCGCCATTCCGTTCACCTCCCTACTGCGCACGGGCGCAACCCCCTGGTGGCCCCCCGATCCCGACACTCCCCTTCCCCAATTCCGATCCCGCTCCTACTTGCGCTGCCCGATCCGCGCGTTTTCCCCCCAACTGCCCCCCCGCCTGAACCTCGATCCCTCTCTCTATCCCTGTGGCCACCGCCATTCCGATTTCGACTTCCCCACAGTCCAATCGCGTTCTACCCGCCATCGCGTCCCAACTCGGACATTCTCCCTCCCCCCGTGCTCTTGCTTCCGCTGCCCCCTCACATGACTCTTCCCCCCGATCGGCCCGCCTGCCTCTGCTTCCTCTAGTCGCGCAGCTCCACCGGTTCTAATTCCGCTTCCGCTTTCTTCTTCCGCTGCCCCCGCACATGACTCTTCCCCCCGCCACATCACCTCTACCCCCATATCCCATCCCCGCTTCCGCCTTACCTCCGATTTGATCCGCCCGATCGTCCCCCCGCGTCTCCCCGCTTCCCCTTCCGATCCGCTAATTCCCTCCTATTCGCCCATCGCCCGCTTCCTCCTCCGAGCCACCCCGGTCTCGATCTTTTCTCTCCCCCACTCTCCACACACCCTGCCCTCCCCGCGCATCCACCTTAGCTGCCCCGACGCTTCTCTCCACTTGCGCGCGCACTTTCCCCTGGGTCGCGCTTTCCCTCGCGCACACCCACTCCCTTTCCCACTGCGTGCTTCCACCCCTGCGCAATTTCCCGCCATCCCGTTTCCCCCACCACCGTGCTGTCTCTCGCGCGCCAAACTCCTTTCCCGACGGCGCCTCGACTTCCTTACCCTGCTTCCGCCCGCCGTCCGCGCTATCCATCACCTTCCGTCCTCGCTGCGCCCCCTTTCCCATAGTGCCTTCCCCGCACCCGACTGCTGCCGCCCAATCCCAACCTCAATCCCCCCTTCCCCCCCCTAACCCCCAACTAAGATCGCGCTCAATCGCGATCGCTTCCCCCCCCAAGACCTCACGTTTTACGTGCGCACGTGCGCGCATTCCCCCCGGCCCGACTCCTCCCCAATCCCGATCTCGTATCCCTTCTCTCCCCGCTTCTCTCCGCTTGTCTCCGCTTCCACCCTTCCCCCGTTACCAATCGGGGCTCCCTACGAGTTCGACTTTTCCGTTCCTATTCCCTCTCCCGATCGCGCCCCCCCTCTGTCCGTTCCTGCCCCGCTCATTTCGATTCCCCATCGTGATTCCTTCGCTGCCGCTCCTGTCCGCCGCTGCATGAGCGATCGCCCCACCCTTGATTCCTTCCACAGTGCGTCCTCAGTGGAAGACATTCTCCGGCGGAATTTTTGATGACGATGGCACTTCAAGTTGCTTTCCAGTACGAATACAAATCGCGATCCCCATGGTCTATTGATCCTTCATCGTTTCAGGACTCAAACCTTCAATGTTGGCTCTTCCTATCATTGTGAAATGGAATTCACCAAGTGTTGGATTGTCCATTCACTCACATGCGTCATGAATCAGCCCTCGCCGCGCCTCCATCACACGACATCATAAGCATCAGCTTCTGAGATCGGTCCAGGCTCGTGAATGGATGGACGAGATGAATACTGTCATCAGTCATCACGGCAGTTCTGAATGAATCTCGTCTCCATTACCATCTTGTTGTCATCATCATCATCACGGAGCTGATCACCGCAGGCGTCATCAAGTTGGATCATCCACCCGGATCATCATCATCATCATCGTTATTGAGGAGTGCTCCCATGACCTCGTCGTTCCCCCGGCGGGAACGATCGAGAAGACCCTTTAGGGATTCGATCAAGACCTTCCTCTACTACCTTCTTCCCCCGAATACAACGTACGGTCATTATAGCTGTATCTAGACTGAAAGATGCCTCAAATACAGCTATAATGACCGTACGTTGTATTCGGGGGAAGAAGGTAGGAGGAAGGACATTTCATACTCCCAGTCTGGTAGGAGGAAGGACATTTCATACTCCCAGTCGACCGGGAGAGCGGTATTGTCATTCTCTCCCCTTATTACTAATTGCCCTCTCCCATCCCGTCGATCTTCCTCAAAATTGTCATCTTTCTCCTCTTCTTTTATCTCCGGTCCATTCCCCCTTCTCTCCTCTATCCTTCCACCGAATTGGTCACGTCATCCAAAATTCCTATCACGCATGACACGTATTTTCTCTCATTGTGCTCATTTAACAATGCTGCCAATCCTATCGTGCGGCATTTCCACCTAATTTGATAGGAATATTCTCCATCCTCATTTCTATCAACCCCGTGGAAAAAATTAATTCCGGCATCTTTGTTTAAAAAGATATGCGTGGTAGTCGATGCCCTGAGTAGGAGAGCTGATTACTTTGGGGCAATAGTGCATTATCTGGACATAGGGGCAGATCTACAACAAAGAATAAAGGATGCATATTCTCAGGACCCGATCTATAGTGATCTGCTAAGGAGAGTTAAAGAAACCCATGACAGTGAGCCAGATTATTGGACCACAAATGGGCTACTCTTTGAGAAGACAAATGTGGTTGATCAACTATGTGTCCCCAATAGTGAAGAGATCCGCAGTTTGATCTTAGGGAAATGCCATGACACAGAAGGACACTTTGGCTGGCAAAAGACATTAGCCCACCTAATGATGTCGTATACGTGGCCTAGTATGAAAGCCGACTGTATAGAGTATGTCCGTGGCTACAAAGTTTGCCAGTTGACAAAAGCACCTCTTGGTCTTCTTAGACCCTTGCCTATCCCGACAGAACCCTGAGAGTCTGTTTCCATTGACCTTATGGATACATGGGTTAGGAGTAGGCATGGGAAAAGTCAAGTCATGGTCGTGATAGATCGATTTACTAAGTATGCCATTTTTGTGCCTTTGCTCACAGAGGCAAGAACTGACTTAGTTATAGAGAAGTTCTTTGATTTTTGGGTAAGTGAGCATGGCATACCACTGTTCATAGTTAGTGTAGAGACACTCAGTTTACCAGCCAGAACTGGCAAGATCTTATGAAAGTTTACGGTTCTAAGTTGTTGATGTTATCTGTTCGTCATACAGACACAAACGGTCAGACAGAACAGATGAATAAGACCTTGCAGCAATCTGGTCGTCATCCAGAGACAAATGGCCAGACAGAACAGATGAAGAAGATCTTGCAGCAATTACTCAGAATGTATATTAGACCAGATCAAGTGAATTGGGATGAGATGCTTCCCAAAGTAGCTAGTGCCTACAACAACAGCGTACACCTAGCTACTTGCAGAGCTCCTAACGAGCTGCATGAGTCCTTCAGACCATGTAGGCCGTTTGAAGGACTAGACTGGGATCAGATTCAGAGGTTATCGCCCGGTACAAGAGAGTTTGCTCTGCAGCACAAGAAGGAAGTTCAGAAGGTGATTGAAAACCTTAGAAAAGCCCAGCATCGCATGATTGAACAAGCGAATAAGCATCCTAGACCCTCACAATTCAAGGTAGGTGACTTAGTTTGGGTTAAGTCAAAGGAATTCGCACCAGAAGAAAACATATCGCAAAAGCTCTTGCCGCATATAGAGGGCCGTGGCCTGTCCTAGAAGTCAAAGGTGGAGAGGATGGGCCATCATATACGATAGAGATTCCACCACACCTCCATACGTATCCGGTTTTCCATGCGTCCAAGTTGTTACCTTGTGTCAGCAATCAACAGTTTCGTTCGCGGGGATCAATGATTCCGCCAGATATGGATGGCACCTATGACATAGACCGAATACTAGAAGAAGACGTATTTCGGACTAAAGGTAGAGGTCGTCCCCAAAAGCAGTACAAATTTCGGTTTGCTTACCAAGAACCTGAGGATGACGGATGGTTCACTAGGACCGACTTCTAGAAACCGCTCCTGACATAGTGCACGCTTATGAGAGAGCAAGAAAAGGTAAAGGTCCTGCCTTCAAGTAAAGAGTTCTCGGAGGACCTTGAATTTAGGACGACGGGAGTGACAGGATTTCACCGAGTTCACACAATGTTGCAGACACCAAGACTTGATCCCCATACCTTCCCCAGCCCACTGTATAATAGCCCGTTGACCCTGTGTGTTTTGAACCTGCGACCTGTCTCTAAACTCGTGCACAAACGTTTTGAGTATGTAGTCTAGGTCATGTGGACTTGAGCCGTAGACCTACGGGTTAGTAATCTTAGGGTCAGTCTATAGGTCTACCCCTATGTGTGGCGAAAGGTCAGTCAGTCGGCGTCTGGGAGTTTCTAGAAATGTCAAACTGACCTTTCGGAGCTTTAGGAGTCAGGAGTCAATCCCTCAGACTCCGAAAGGTCAAGTATCCCTAGTCTAGTCAGCAAGTACAGTCCCAGTCCTAGTCTAGTCAGCAAAGTATAGTCCCAGTCCTAGTCTAGTCAGCAAAGTACAGTCCCAGTCCTAGTCTAGTCAGTAAGTACCAAGTGGGACTGCACATCCTACGGGTCTGGGACATTGAGCAGGCCCGGCCACCTAACGAAACATAATAAATAAAGAGGCAGCGACCAGCCATTCATTCATTCACCTGCAAGCTGCGTGGAAGCGTTGTCCAAGTGACTTAAGTGTTGAAGTTTCTAGTCAGCAAGTACAGTCCCAGTCCTAGTCTAGTCAGTGAAGTACAGTCCCAGTCCTAGTCTAGTCAGTAAGTACCAAATCGGACTGCACATCCTACGGGCCTGGGACATCGGGCAGGCCCAGACCACCTAACAAAACAGGATAAATAAAGAGGCAGCGACCAACCACTCGTTCATTCGCCTGCAAGCTGCGTGGAAGCGTTGTCAAGTGACTTGTGCGTTGAAGTTCGCCAGTGGTCAGCCAGTGCCCGAAGGTCGAAGAGGGCGAGCGGCCATAGCCGCTAGGAGGAGGGAGTCGACAGTGGCCATAGCCACCAGTGTAGCAGATAGGGTACATGTGTGTGTGTGTGTGTGTGCGCGCGCGCGCGCGCGTGTGCGTGGACATTCAGGGTAGATTCTAGTATGTGTGTACGTGTGTGTGAGTGAGTGGGGTGAGTCTGATCATGGATGCAGTGTGCAGGTGGGAATTTCAGACTGGTGCTCAGATGCCATAGCCACGAGATGTGACAAGTTGACTTGAGCTGAGTCCCTGGCTGAAGGCCATAACTCGAGTTTTCTACACTCTTGTTGCTGATCCTACTTCGAGGAAGTTGTCCTGCCATCGGCACCTGCATGTATGCATGTTGAAAGTCAAGTTGAAGTCAAGTCTGATTGCAGAAGAATGCGGCTGTGAACAAATTTGCCAGCCTGTCTTGCCTGGGAAAGGTAGTGGTGATTTGAAAGAAAAACATATGGAAAATCTGGGGGAACATGGTAGGGCCAAATACTTCAGCAACCCTTATCTGGCTCAGCACTGAGTATTGTATCCCCTTCTCCGTCCCATTTGGCCCCCTACCTACACCTTTACAGCGTCTACACAACTCTCCGCTCCCTTTCGTGCATGTCCACTTTCGTCCTGCTTG